GGAAAAGCTTTAAGAAAAATTGAGAAAACTAGGAGGCAAAAACATCTAGTGAGATGGAAGTAGCTCCTGTATCAGGGATTATTCAAAGACTGTATCACCTGATACCCTCTTCTTGCATCTCNTCCCACCTAAGTCTGAAGACGATAGCCAACATCCGGGGCTATAACCGGGTTGGTGGACCACTGGTAGTTCACCTAGGGGAGTTGGCCAAAAACCCTGATTCGAAACCAACCAAGAGGAACCGTACGAACCACACATCTTCCTGGTTGTGGCAGTGGTCACCGGCTCATATGGGCATCGAGGTGTATTGGACACCTTGAACGTTTAACCCCAAAGGGTGTATGATCCAATGGATTGCGGTTTTCACACACTGCCCCGCTGCCTTGTCGATAAGGCTTTGGTTAGCCGAAGGCTCCGGTTTTGCATTCTTCAGGAAAATTCACCTGCCTAGGCCTGGGCAACCTGGTAGCTCTCCACCCATAAGCAAATCATGGAATGTTTTTCTTTTTATTAAGATTATTGTACCATGATTTGTTTGGCACAGCCTGGATTCAGAAGTGTGTGTTATGAGAAACAGACCAAACGTCTAGCATGTGCCTCAATGCATTAGTTAACTTTACATGAGCATAAGGACTAACCTCAACTCTAATGATTCAGTATTCTTACCCAAAAGGGCAATGCTGCAAAAATATCGAGGCCTACTCGACAATATTTTTTTATTCCCTTAAATAAAAAAGAAATAGATCAGCCAACAAACCGAAGTAGTCGAACACTGGGTTTTTAACAGTGAAACGAATAACGCGTCGATCTCAAAGATGACAAGAACTGGGAAAGATAGTTTTTTTCTCTGTATGCATGGTGTCAGCACTGGATAGGCGTTCATCAAGTGAGATATGAATACCAAAGTAACCAAAAACCTTTTCAGACAACGCAGTATGAGGGTGCCCTTAGCCCATACGTAACACTGGGGCACAAAACCCAAAACGTAACAACCTGGTAACTTTGACTGCAACCAATGTTACCCATGGCACCAAATAAATTACTACGGTAAACGAGGTTTGCCGAGGCAGGTGATGAATGCAGAACACTAAAGGGTGGTCAAACTAAGACCAGGTGTGATAGCACGAAAATACCGACCAGGAGAGTTGCTCACATGGCGTTAGGCTTCCTGGATACGAACATCGGGATCAGCGCAACCGACGGTTAGAGACATTCGGTGATATGGTTGAGTGTAGTTAACAGTGGCGCAGAGACATCTACTCGAATCCCTTCGTCCTGATGAATTCTCTATTTTCACCTTGACACCACTTTCAACATTCCAACACTCCCGCAAAGCAGCGGAGCGGTGCGTAAAATCTTCAATCCATTGGAAGCCAGCGTCCAGTTCATCGAGTCATGCGCCCATTAAACGGTGTCAAACGTTCAAGGTGCCCAATACATCTCGATGCCCAATCTAGCTGGGGACTACCAACCCACAACCAAGGTTGTAATCAGGGTTTTTTTATCAACTCCCTGGGTTAACTGCCAGTGGTCCATCAACCCGTCCATAGCCCTGGATGTTAGATTTCGTCCTTTGACTTTGATGTGTAAAATTCCGCCACGAGACGACAGTAAGTAGGGCTTCCTCAGCAGAGGCTATTCGAGACCTTTGGTCGTTTGGTAGCATTTCGTGAGGTGCAGATGATTTTCCCCATTTGCGTATTGTATGGCAGCCCTTTGATTGGCCGCTTCCCCCTTCCTGAAAGTTGTATCTATGTATGTTCGATAAAAGGAAGTAACATGAAAAGAAAAGAAGAAAGGTGACTTGCTACAAGCGAAGGCACCCACTCCGACTATACTGAGGCTTTCGAAGGCTCTTCATCAGTGAGTAGTAACCTTGCGTTCTACCTACGAGACCCNCCATTTGGGTCGATTTATTTGCACTGCTAATCAGACCCAACCAGGTCGGAACAGCTGCACCGTGCTTCGTATGTTTTCATTTCGCGCTTCATTTGCTCTATACACGCTGATATTCACTATATACTCGAACGAAATTCTTTACTACTCCCATTTAATAATCGTTTCACCTGACACGGGTTGAAAACAGTTAAACTAGATTTACACATTTTTACATGACTCCTACAACTTTATGCCTCTGTCTTAGGTTTGTTTCACTCCTTTGTCCGTTTGGTGTGACACGCAAGAATCGAGTACAATAACGGTAGATGAGGGAAGCATGCATAGTGTGCTCATTCTGTTTTATAAGATGTTCAGCGATGCAGTGGAGAACGTAGACAGCGGTTCAGAGGGCGATTCGGAATGTTATCCATTCTAAGCCGATCTGTCCGAGCTCGTGTTAGTGTTCTCTGCTTACCTTCGGCATAGCTCCGCTCTTATCCGACTTCATACCATACATACTCTATTGATCTTTACTGCTTCTGTCACAGAACAGAACAGAGTCGAACTTCGCCGTCGTGGTGTTCACTCCTGCTGCTCTGCTCACACGGAGGTCTATGAATTACCCACGTCCATTTTGTAAACGTGTTTCTTCGTGGAAACGTCGTATGCGCTTAACAACGCATCGATTTTTAGTGATAAGTGGAGATGAACTCAACAATCCATCATCAAAAGTGTTTTCATTTCTAGTTGTTTGACTCGTGGATCGTGTTCTTTTACGTGTCGGGTTTACTGAGTTTGTTCAATCGAATTGAATGACAGTCTATAAAAACCTTTGTTTAAGTTTCTTTTCGGTTCGCACACAGTCTCAGCTTATGCAATCGTTTGCCTCACACTTTTTCAAGGCCGTTTTGGATAACCTTTTGACTGCTCATTTAGATGAAGAAGTAGAAAGCCAGAGGAAGGATACAAAATGCAATTACACTTTATTTGCAATCATTTAAGAAAGGAAAGGCTGCGGAACCTGATGGGCTTCTCCCTATTCTTTTCAAGGTGGGCGGTGATTCTCTTGTCGACTCAATTACTTGCTTACTTCGCAGAATTTGGACGGAGAAGCGTATCTCTTTGTCCTGGGATGGATCGTTGATCGTCCCGATCTTCAAGAAGGGATCACACAACGACCGTGGGATTAGTTTAGTTTCGATAATCACAAAAGTGTTGACTTCTGTGATACTTCGCCACCTGACACCCTTGAGGGGGAGGAATATCCACGAACAACAAGCCGGATTCCAACCAGGTCGCGGGTGCATCGACCAAATCTTCACTGTGCGTCAAGTCCTCGAACTGCGTCACACAAATCGTCGGCGAACAATCGCAGTGTTCCTTGACCTAAAAGGAGCCTTCGATTCAGTTGACCGTGAAGCTCTTCTGGGGTCGCTGCTCCGCAAAGGAATGCCGCGGAAGTATGTGAACCTATTACGGTCGTTGTACCTGCATACTTCTGGTAGCGTAAGGGTCTACGGAGGAGTAAGTAAATCGTTCGAAACCAAGAGCGGTGTCCGTCAAGGGTTCCCTATTTCGCCATTCCTGTTCAATTTCGTCGTAGACGAAGTACTCGAGAACGCACCTACTGGTCTCCAAAACGTAGGTAGTAAATGGGCAGCTGGAAAAAAGCTGTGCGATTTAGAGTACGCTGATGACATCGTATGTCTGTTCGAATCTATAGAGGATGCGCAATGCACTCTTAACAGACTAGAAAGTTCTGTATCTCCTTTCGGCATGCGCTCTGCACCAGCACTGATGCTTGATGGTCAAGAATTAGCTGTAGTGGAATGTTTCACCAACCTAGGTAGCTGCGTTTCAAATGACGGTAGCATAGTCAATAAAGTAACCGCCCGCATTTCCAAGGATCGAGCAGCTTACGCAGGATTGACACACCTTTGGTGCAGACGCGAGGTTTCGTTGAAACTGAAAGGTCGTGTATACTGCGCCAGTGTGCGGTTAGTTCTGCTCTATGGGTGCGAGACCCTAAATTTACTCGTGGAAGATATTCGTCGTCTTGAAGTATTCGACTGCAGATGTCTACGCAGTTTGGCGCGGGTTGGATGGAGAGAGCTTGTAAGCAACTCTAAGGTGAGGCGTCGCGTATTTGGTAATGATTCGATGGAGAATTCGTTGTCCCATCGAATTCAGATTAGCTTCGCTGGTTAGGACACGTATTACGCATGCCCAGCCATCGTCTACCGCACCCCTCCTTATTCACAGTTGCAGCTCCAGGTTGGAATAAACTGCGTGGTGGTCAACAGGTGACGTGGAAGCGAGGCATGAAGAAATTCACAGAGCGATTAGGTAGAATCGGTGTCTCCCGTCTTCCAGGTTGGGGTCCGAAAGACTGCAACTGGCTGGCTTGAGACATTAAAGGATATGGCGACTAACCCACAGCAGTGGCGTTCTTGTTGTCATTTCTTAACAAGGCAGAATGCTTGAAGATATATGCATGAACACTTAGATTGTGCGCTCTGTGTGTTGAACATAGAGGTTATTTTTCTTTGCCTCCCTCCAAGTAGGCCCAATCCCTCTCCATCTTGTGCTTTATCACTTGTGTATGTACATTGTGAGCTTGGCAGCGATCCCGCTGTACGATGATGATGATGCAATGAAATTGAGCACATCCACGAGTGATATTGCTTACGACAACCTATCATATCACTCATTGTCTCCGGTCATCGATTCGAATGCTCTCGAGGTCCTCATCCAGGAATCCTAACGCGACCTACAAGTCCTAGTTCCCTGATCATGGTTTTTATATCTTCGTGTCAAACTTTCGTTTGAGTAGCTTTTGTCTTTTCCCATTAGTTACCTACCTCGATAAACACCCACTAAAGAGGCTTGTCTAGTCCCCGTATATGATTGCTGCTCTGTACTCTTTTTCATTCACTCGACCTTGCTCTTGTTGTCTTCTGTGTAGTGTGATCTGCTCACCATTCTTCATGCTGACTACCTTTTTTCTACTTAGTTGTGTTCTCATTTCAACCCAGATGAGCGATGGCTGTGGTTTCTATTTCTTATCATTTATTAATAAAAGCCTGAATGAAACCACCGTTATCCGGTCTCCTGTTTTCCAGATCTGTCTCGCACGAGTTCATGGAGTTGCGCGTTGGCAACAAATATCGGCTTGGTCGGAAGATTGGAAGCGGTTCTTTCGGTGAAATCTATCTTGGTGAGTGCTACGCGTGTCTATCATGCCTGCACATTTTACAACCTCCTCCAGCTTTTACTTCACATTCGATCGATTAGCGTAATTCGTTTGTCATGGCCACTTGATCGAGGGGTTTTATGCACTGTACATTACATCATGGTTACATTTTTATAAAGGATTGTGTAAGTGCGTATGTACCTCAAATATGGTCAACGGCATTCCCAGCATACGTCCAGGGGCTGTTCGGCTGATAGTTTCTCGGGACGCTGATTATACGCTTTTCTGTCATTGTTTTCCTGTGACGTACGCTATCAGTACACCTCACAGTCACAGGGGAGGGTAATCCCATGCCTCGGTGGCAAATTATATACGTGCGAGAGCCGAACCATTCACATCAGAAGCAGGTTGTGGATGCAATCAAGTGTTGTATTGTCGATTTAGGATGATGGTAAAAATGTGCGTCTTAATTTTACATGTTGAGGAGAAGGTGGTTCGGTAACCCAAGTGCACTCCAGAGCGAACAGAAAACAAACCTTTTCGCACAAATCAAGATAGCATGGTCTCAAAATACCCATTCTCACCAATACAGCAAACTTGAGTTGACGTTGTCCTTAATCATCAACTTAACAGTGACCCCGGTAGTCGTTCGGTGACGCAACACAGCAAGTAGGCGGAAAATCAGGATAAAGTCTTTGAAGTCTTTTTACTTCCTCTTTTATTTATTGAATATACAATGTGCAGTCAACATTGAGGAAGGGGACTGCGGCTGTATAAAGCCCACCTGAGGAAATACAGAAATAGGGAAGACGGGCGGCGGTAAAGCGGTTCGAACCCGGGTCACAATTTGGTGACCTAACCACTTGGCCATCACCGCCCAGGAAAGACACATGAACGCATCGTTGGTTTCCGTAACTATGATATGTGATGCAATTGGATAGACATTAAATCACCTGAAAAGTGTTTCGTGACCTATGTTCTTCATCATCGTACGGGGAGATCTCGTGAGCCGAACTTCGTTGATCGCTGCAAAACTCACCCTGTAAGCACGAATCTGTGAGATGGATGGATAGCTGGATGAATATATAGTGTCACAGAGCACACAAATGTAGTTTTTTTTAACCCAAACCCAGAAGATGAGAAGCACTTATTCGTCTCCATGTGATTTTCTTCAACCTGTAGCAGCAACCGTAAATACGATCCAGCGTGATGAACGGCTGCTAGGCATACGCAGTATGTGCCCTAGCGAACTGGGTCTACTTATCCGAATTCGGTGACAACGAATTTTCCACCGCAAGGTTCTCCAACGCATGATGACTGACCTCGACTTTACTCATCCGCTAGCTCCATCCTCTGTGTACCAAACTATGCAACTAATCGTTTGCCGAAAAATTCTAATTAATGGATATATTCTAGTCGTCAATTCAAGTTTCCACAACCGCATAGCAGAGCTGATCGCACATTGGCATAGCAGCAAAACCTGCCATCTTCAACAAGACCTCCNACATGTTTCAATCCTGCGCACACTGTTTAATACTTGTGTATGCATGGGGTCACCTTGACTGCGCAACCGACCATAGTTACAAAGTCTCTTGAATATGAGGAGAAATCAAATTCATTCGATACATCACAGCGAGATAACACATGATTCATTCTCTGTTTTTTTCTTGCAATTGATTTTCTCATTTTCATGATCCGCATCGCTTTTACATGTACTTGATTATTTAAATGCTGTCATAAAATTGATTCAACTGAGAGCAAAAGTGATTTTATTATTGGTTATATTTTTGGACGTAACAGAACTGTCATTCAACTTTGAATTTCCGGCGCACTTCGCAGGACAAATTTAGCGCATTTTTTTTTAAATTTTCCACCGCTTGGATGATTCGACGGGTGAAATATCATTCAGGAACTCGTAACACACCGTACTACAGAGCAGTCGTTATTGCTCACCCCAAACTAGTTATCACAGTGCCATCTCTTGTGTGCGCTTTCGGCATGAAATCAGATTGGGTTACGAACATTTATCTACCGACTGGGTCACCTTGGTTTCGTAGCGTTTTACTACTCTGGTTCGATTGTGTGGTTACAAATTCGTGCAACAGCACATAGCGCGATTGTTTTCAGGCGGAATTTCCCCATCATAACCCGTTCCTCCTTGATGAGAAAACATTCCAGTTTATTGGAATATTTCATCTGAAAATGATCTAAATAATATGAAATTCATCGAAGGAAACACGAATAACGATAAACTGTTCATTCCGTTGTGTTATCCACCTAATACCTCGTCTTTTCGGTTGCTCACCAAACTTGGACATTAGTTTTGCGAGGCCATTCATTGCATCGATCGAGGTGACACTGACAGTGTCATTGATGATTGGATGTGACACCGGAAACAAATCACGGTTTAATTAGTTTGTTCTGTTTTTCATTCGCTCATCAACTGAACGACAGACCTAGGCTAAGGCGCGGTAAACACGTGTAACCCCGATAGAACCGGATGAGCGCTCCTCTCTTCCCTATCACAACACATGGAGACTGTTGGTCATAGGGGCCAAACCAATTTAAAATACCCATAAATTAGACCACTAGATGTATGTCAAACACTGTGTTTTGAATTTAACAAATTGTTATAATGTAACTGTTTTTAGTTATAGAAGAAGAAATTATTTTATTTGGTGCATGTGGTATACAACAAAACTAGGTTGTACGATTTATGCCAAGGCAGATTTCACGGCATCTCAACTGGCACAATACGGTAGAAAACTACAGTTTATATCATTGAACAGTACTACAGTGTTCTGCCGTGTTGTACCAGTTGAGATGCAGCGAAATCTGCCTTGGCATAAATCGTACAACCTAACTTTGTTATGCTATCTATTCAAGTTTATCTCGGGAAATATATGTTTCAATATGTGGGATCGATCAATTATGTGCTTGAGACTCACCCTATTCTGGAAGTTTCCTGCACGAGTCAAGTTGAGTCGCACTCCTGCTTCCTGGAGTAATTTACCTTGACCTAGCAGTAGTTCAACAGTTTTTATGAGTACATCGTTTGTTATTGAAGTCACTGCACGCACACACACACACACACACACACACTCACACACCCTGAGTTAACGTCTACTGATTTAATCGATCGTGGCTGGTGCGAAATATCGAAAAAAAGAAATTTCTTCATGTCACAAGTGTTGGGTGCATCTAGGTGGCATGAAGTAATCAATGAAACCTGTTCCGTCCGGTCATCATGCCTGACAATCGACACATGTCGACATGCTCCGGCCCTGTGTGCGAATTGTTATCATGGGCGCTCATTGCGGTGCTGTCGTGTTGCACTCTATATTTACACCTGTGCGAAGCTGCGTTTGCTTTAAGTGATCAAGCATGTTTCATTGCAGTTTCGCTTACGGTCTATCTTTCTCTCCGTTTTCAATCTTGATGGTAGGTACGGATATAGCCAAAGGCGAGGAAGTCGCAATCAAGCTAGAATGCGTCAAAGCCAAACATCCGCAACTCCAAATCGAAGCCAAGATCTACAGACTGATGCAAGGTGGCGGTAAGTCACAATTCGATTTAGTCATGCAATGCGAAAATTCGAACACACCCACACATACTCTCGTGGGTTAGTCCATGTGATTTTCCTGTCTCAGCAACCAAAACGGAACAGAGTTCCCTCTCCTCAATATGCACAGGATTTCTATTTTTTCTACCCTAGTTCAAGTACTCCTTCATCCTGTCGTGTTAGGTCACTCTGTATGGCTTTTCACCTCATCAGTGAATCATTGCATTGCTTTTTCTTTGACTACCGGATACACATCTTTGGCTTCCATATCGGGACTATATTATGCCTTGTTATCGCTATTTGTGATTTATCATCCCACGCCCTCGGACGTACACAACCGCCTTCCCATGATTAACCAGTGTTCTTCCATGACCGTGGCACTCATCCCTTCTATTCATTATACAAAGTTTTTTCTTACAAAATGTAGACTTTCTTCAACCTGATGATTTGTAACTTTTTCTGTTCACCATGAACCTGAATGCACATATGTGCATTCGAAATCAACTTACCCCGGGTCACTTTGTGCGCTATTGAAACATTGAATCGAATGATCACAGCACACTTTCTTCTCCTCCTCCCACTTCCACTCGATCATCGTTGTTTTTCGGATTGCCATACCCCAGCATTTCTGCGCTCATACCCCCCCCCCGGTCCGTTCTGTACACAAACCTCTTACTCATCCATCCGCTCCGCGTTCCTCTTTCTGGCCTCAGCTTTGGAAGAGGCTCACGCATAACTTAACAGACGCACCTATGAACCAAATGACTAGACTGTGGTGACCACAGTCCAGGAATTTCGTGTTATGGGTGCTGTTGTTGCTGCCGCTTTTCTTCTACGAGAAAAGGTTATTCGTGATCTGCACGGTGCACGCATGTGTACACGATTGGTCGACAGGTCGCGCGTGAAGTCTCCCCACCCCTATTTTCCTTTGTGTGTGTGTGTGTGTACGCGTGCCCGTGTGTGCTCGTGCATGTGTATGTTGGCACATTTGTTGCGGTTAAAGTGATTTCATCCCATCCTTCAAGTCATCCACGTACCACAAATCTTCTTGTCCCGGGGTTTTGCCAGTGTGGATGCACAGGGTACATTAGAAAAAGATGCATATCTGTTCGGGTTCTTCTGTCCGCTTCAATTGAACCGGATCGATCGGGACGAGCGAGCGGATTTTGCAGACCGGGTGTACGCATGCGCGTTTATGTGACTGAGTTAGAGAAACCCCGCGGGGCGAGAACTATGCGGCTGCTCCATTCACTCGACTGTTCGGCATTGTATCGCTTCTGTACCGAATGTCACATCCTGTGATTCGAGCTTGGAGCAGGGCGAATCTTACCGAACGAGTGAAATACAGATCTGGGAAGAACACTTACCGTTGTGTTTTCTCGGGACTGTGTGTATGCCTACGCGGGCGCGCTTTTTTTCTTCGATCACGTACTCATTCCGCACGACTTCTGTTGCTCTCTCTCTCTCTGGCTGCCGGTGTTTTTTTTCTGGCAACAAAATAACGTTTCAGTTGAGAACAGAAAACAAGGGATAAGCACGATATCACAATTATCCAAATTCACTTCCGCAACTCACGCTACCATTGTGACCTTTGTGATAAAGGCTTTTCTGTTACCCCGTTCAGCAGCAGCACTACGTAGTACTGCATCCTTCTGTGCACTACATAATCGGTTACTGTTCATCAGAACGATTTACCTTTTGAGACGTACACGCACCGGGACAGGATAGTAAATCCCCGAGATTGCGCTGTACGTCTACTACCAGCTAAGCAGTCCCAATCCTAGTCATGTCACCAAGTTTCGAATAGGAGAACACTCGTGTACTTAACCGTGAGTAATTGAGTGTTGCTTAACTAATCGGTCGCAAGTGAATCGCACCGTTGTCTGAAGACATGGCATGTTTTCGTCTGGTAAGCAGTCTCTCACCTGACAGCTGAGCTGCCGGGTAGCGCGGAGGATTTCCCTCACAATCCGGTGGTTAACCGCAAATTGAATGAATTCAAACTGAATAAATAAGCGGTCAGAAATGATCCGCGGTAGTAGTCTGGGACGCATTGGAGTTGTGTTTAGCTGGCGTTCTCCAGTATGAAGCAACACTTTCGTCTGTAGATTGCATCAAGACGTGGCGATCACTGTCCGCCACTTAAAACGGCCTATACTCCGCTTTTCCAACGATGCAAGTGAATTACACAATAGGCTACCGCCTCGGTTGGAAAACCGCTGCTATCTAGCAGAATAGAGTTAGAACAACGAACAAAATGCGGGATAGGGTACTGCTAAACCACCCCCTACTCCGGCGTAATGACATTTGCATATATTGTACCTTGGATAAACTCTCCTTTTTCTCCTTTCTATAATTCAGCTACTGTACTGAAATCAAACCAACAAAGTACTCATTGTTTCTCTCAACAGTTGTTCTTAAGCAGTGACCGTCCGCGCATAATATTTGGATTGGGTGTTCGAGTAGTGCAATGATCCAGGGCTGTGCTGGGCACATCTATTCCGACGAAATTGTGAGTAATGTGCTTGGTGCCGATTTATCTTCTAGCATCAGGTAGTCGTGTAAGAAATGCAATGAAAGAAACACTTGCATAAAAACGTCGGATAATAGAAACACGCCACAAGGTGTGTGGAACTGCGCGCTAAGATTAAACCACGTGCTTAAATGCGATGGAAATCTTTGGCTTCATGATCCTAATTGCTATGGCTTCCGCAGTTGTCAGGATCTTTCTACGTAATCCTTTGGCGTGATACTTAGGTGCAGTGAAGAAACTTGTAAATGATGTTTCTGGGTCAATCCTGTGTCCACTATCGACCAAATGTTGCAGGATTGAGCTGTTCAAGCTTCTCACTGTTCCTTTTCGAAGAGCGGTCGGACAGTGTTCAGATATTCTCTTGAGTAAACGCCTCGTTGTGTGTCCGATGTAGCGAGCACTACAAGTGCACATGAACTGATATAGAACGAAAGATTGGGACTGATGAGGCAATTTATCCTTA